GTGTAAACAGAGAATATCCGGGGTGAGAAGTGTCCTTTGTGATGTGTTGTGCCTTTTTAAGACAGCGGTCACTGTGCAAGTCCTCCAGTGAGGGGAGAGGACAGCCAATGATTTTTTGGGCTGTATTCACAACCCTTTGTAGAGCTTTCCTTTGAGCCGCAGTGCTGCTGTTGGTTTAAATAACTTGCAGTAAAGCAAGCAAAACTAAATAAAACTAGACATGGGTTTTTACAATGTAAAAACAAGTGTGCATTGCCATGTAGCATGTCATTGTCTGCAGCAATGGACTTGCAGAATGAACTTTGACCAAGTTCAAATGTGTTTTCTATACCAGCTTGAGCCTGTCACGTCAGCAGGTGTTTGTAATTAAGGTAATTGTGTGACAATATGAAATTTGAAGAGACGTTTTGTTAAAGTTGCAGTAGCTGGGTTTAGAACGCTGATCTCCCACATGAAAGTCCATGACATAGACCATTAGACTAATGGAGCTGTGGCAGAAGGTGGTGGCAGGGGTTGGTTTGTATGTGTGCAGAAAGAGGCTACATTGCCAATACAATTATTGACACAAAAATGCATAATATCACAACAATCGAGCAGTATTAAGACAATATTACAGTAAAACATTTATACTGTACTGTACTGTTATCACTGAACTACTGAGTTGAAAAATTAAACTATGGTGCAGTACCAAGTTGAGTACAGCATGGGGCAGTATTGGACCAATACAAGGCTCCATTGACTGCCATTATAATTCATTAAACATTAATATTTCATAAACTATAAGTTTTACAGGCACCAAAAGGCACAGCCATCATTTGGCACAGGAGCTTTACAGATATAAATTACAATGGCAGCTGTAGGACAAAGTATGCAGGAGGAGACGCATGGCAAAGTCGAGATGACTTCGATGACAAACGAATCACAATAGTGTGTATTGCATTGGCAATGCACACTGATGAAAGGCAGCAGAAAGAAGAAAAAAATCTTATAGTATCTGCGTCTTTATTTGATACGTTTGCAATTTCGTCCTTGTGTTTTTAAAAAGCCTCAAGTTTTTTATTTAAAAGAATTCTGACACTTGCTTTAATGACAAACAACATGAAAGTAATTTAGGAACAAAAACGATGAATTCATTCCAATCTGCAATAAAAAACTATTTTTTGCATTGTGTTTTAATATAGTGCTAATAAAAACACATTTATAGAATATAAACTCAAATTTTCTGTCTGATACATCCTTGAAAAGGGCTGTAAAATGAATGAAGTTTCAGCAAATAGGTTTTTTTTTGCCTTTGTTAAATAATAATAATAATAAATCTAAAATATGTATTGTATAAATGTATATGAGTACTTCTTTCCATTTTCTTGTTTAAACTGTTTCATTCTCTTTCTTTATTGAGGCAATCCTTTCAAAACAAAAGCTTCTGTTAGTTGTAAACAAATAGTGTCTGCCATTTCAAACAGAAAACTGTTTCCTCCTCATGGCTGTTTGGTTTGTAAAAAACACTTAATGTGACAGAAGCTCAAAGCAAACTGTGTTTGTGCTGGAGGAGAGTTAGTGTTGCTTTGAAATATGAATCTTCTGTACATTTAAAAAGAAAATAAATAAGACAGTTTAAACAGAAATATATTTGCTCAACATGTTTTTGAGTGTGTTAGCATCAATCAAATATGTTCTTGTTTTTCTGTCTGTATCAAAAACAACAATGAGGGAAATGGTCGAAGACCATCGTGATCTCCAGCTCTCACTGGAGCGGTTCACAGCTGAGTGTGAAGCGGCCAGGATGAGGATCAGTGCCTCCAAATCTGAGACCATGGTCTTGAGCCGGGAAAGGGTAGGGTGCCTTCTCCGGGTCGGGGAGGAGGTCCTGCCCCAAGAGGAGGAGTTTAAGTATCTTTGGGGTCTTGTTCACGAATGAGGGAAGAATGGAGCGGGAGATCGACAGGTGGATTGGTGCTGCGTCTGCAGTGATGCGGACGTTGTACTGGTCCGTCGTGGTGAAGAGAGCTGAGCCAGAAGGTGAAGCTCTCAGTTTGCCGGTCGGTCTACGTTCCTACCCTCATCTATGGTCAGGAGCTTTGGGTAGTGACTGAAAGAAGGAGATCACAGATACATGCAGCTGAAATGAGTTTCCTCTGCAGGGTGGCTGGGCTCTCCCTTAGAGATAGGGTGAGAAACTCATCATCCAGGAGGGACTCAGAGTAGAGCCGCTGCTCCTCCACGTCCAGAGGAGTCAGTTGAGGTGGATCATCTGGTTAGGATGCCTCCTGGACGCCTCCCTGGTGAGGTGTTCTGGACACGTTCCACTGGGAGGAGACCCAGAGGAAGACCCAGGACACGCTGGAGGGACTATGTCTCTCAGCTGGCCTGGGAACACCTTGGGATTCCCCCAGAGGAGCTGGTCCAAGTGGCTGGGGAGAGGGAAGTCTGGGTCTCTCTGCTTAGACTGCTGCCCCCGTGACCTGACCCCGGATAAGAGGAAGAAAACGGACGGACGGATCAAAAACAAAAAGTGACAGATAACAACTGTCGGGGTCACGATGAGGTTCTGAAGCCTGAAATAAAACAGCTGGATTACAAATGAGGAGCAGCACAAAGCTCAGGAGCTTTGGTGTTATTATCGTCTACACATATACTGTATTTACAGTATCATGAATGAAAAACAGCAGCAAGTATTTTTTCTGTCACCTCTGCTGCATAAAAACGATCAGCTCTGACGAGCTGCGACAAGCACCTGACAGTGAAGATGAGGATGAGTCACTGTTGCTGATGTGTTTGTGATTTACAGCTTTTCCCTTTCTGTCAGGATTCCACTCGGCCCCTTTTCATTCCAGCCTTATCGAGCGAAATCAGGGACAAATTCAGAGCGAGGAGCCAAGACAAACAGCGACAGGCGCCAAACTGCTCCAAGCACCACATTAACATAAAAACTCATCAGGTGTTTGATCTGATTATGAGTGAATTGTTTTTTTTTAACTTATTTTGTTGGGCTTTTGGTAAATAATAAAGTTGTGACATCATCAGCCATGTGGACGAACACAATTTTCACATTTTGCATCCCTAACCTTGTGTTTTAAATCACCAGAGGGCTTCGGCATGCAACTTACCAAATTTCTGGGTGATAAAAAAGCTGTTTCTGCTCGTGGTTGTCCCATCGTGACCTTTAGCCTCAACGGAGACACTGTATTGAGTCCCTGGCTGCAGATCTTTTAAAAATATGTCGTGTTTTGTTCCATCTACAGTAACATCTAATAAAAAGAAAAGGTTGTAAATGTAAAGAAACAAAATGAACAGGCAAATCGTGCAGAAGTTTGTGTTGAACTTACTGAGCAGTGGTCCGTTTTGCATCTCGTACAGAACTGTGAAGCTGACAACCCCGCTGCACGGGTACCTGGACTCTGTGTGCCAGTTCACCAAAGCGCCGGTGTTGGAGGTCTGGACATCTCTGATGACAACATTCTCTGGAACTGAAGGAATCATGGGTTTTTCAACAAAATCAGGCTCGGGCAAAGGTTACAAAAACAATCAATTTTAGGAATTGTTCCAAACAATCTGCATGGTTTACCTCCTCTGCTGGAGCAGATCTGCAGAGCCTCTGAGCTTCGACCCGTTCTGTCCTCGAGGAGGGGCGTCACCGTGATGTTATATTCAGTTCTGTTCACTAAGTCTAAAAAAAGAGAGCGGAGACGAGTATTTGCAGTTGTTGAAACGCAGGATCCTTAAAACAATGATTGAGACAAACTGAATCATGTCAAAGCAGGGGCGCCAGCAGGGGGTCCAGGGGGGGCCATGGCCCCCATGAAAATAAGCTGCCCCCCCCCCCCCCCCCAGTTTTATCCTCTTGAGTACCCAGGTTTTTCCTTTTCAATTCCCCGACCTATTTAGGAATATAACCTCATGAATATAAAAACAAACACTTTTTTTTTTTAACATTTAAGAGTTAAAAACATAAATTTATATTTTATTTAAAATAAAAAATTTAATTGAAATTAAAATGTACAGTAGATCCTCTGAATAAGGACAACCAGACCAGTCTAAAAC